TCTGCTTAATTTTGACATACTTAACAATGTTTAATAATGCTTAATGACGTTTAATAATGATTAACATAGCCTAAAGAAATGAACTTTGTCTCAGTTTTTTTCCAGTTTTTCAGTTATGCTTTTGCACTCGTAATCGTCATAATTGTTTCATATTTTCTAATTCGGAAAGAAAGCTGTCATCATAGGAACTGGTTAAAAAAGCAATGAAAAATGTTCATTTATACAATAAAAAAGAAAGTTTTTTCGCACTTAAGTCGTCATCATGAAGGTAGAGCATCCGTTGGAGATTTTGGTTACCCCAAAGAGTTGATGTGGTACTAAGTATGTAATTAATTAATTAATCTCTACCGTATTGGGATTTAATCCCGCAAAGACAGGCTTGATGCTTAATGTTGCTTGTTTCATCAATAGGTTCAAGGGGAGACATGATGGACACAATCCTATTTGGATTTTGGATTGCATTTGTACTGTGTGTACTTCTTAGAGTGTGAGAAAAACATCAATGCAACTTTCAGTTGTATAAAATGATTGAATGTCAGAGTAGAAAAGAAGAAGAAATTTTTAACTCTGGCAATCTTCACCTCAGGTGTAATTAGTTTGCCGAAAAAAATAATAAGAAACAGCTGTTACAAAATAAAAAGAAAAAACAAACGAGAATCTAGATTAAAATATAGATTTTTTAATTGAAAAAAGACAGAAAAGGCAAACAAAAGAAACTGCGTAAATAAATGTCTCTATTAGAACAATATGAGCAACAATATGCAATCCTTATTGCTGAAATTACCATACAAATCGGCCAAATAGCTTTGATTAGTGAACGCAAAGAGTTGTATGCAAAAATCGATGGCGGCTTAGTGGAAGCTCAGGAATTGATTGAGCAGATGGGTTTAGAGATACGCGAGTTGAGTTCAATTCAGCGATCAACAGCTACTAGTAAACTGAATTGTGCTCAAGTTGAACTGAAAAGACTGCAAAACGAATACAAAAAAGCAAGAGAAGATAGTTTAAAAAGTCGCAAAGCGCAGGCGATTAATGTTGCAATCGACGATTATGAAGATTATTATGAAGATGTGTCAATGAGCCATGACCAAAGACAAAGATTACTTGACAACTCGGAGCGTATTGAACGTACAGGCAATCGCTTACAAGAAGGCTATCGTGTCGCTTTAGAAACAGAGTCATTGGGCGCTCAAGTATTAGGTGATTTACACCATCAAAGAGAAACCATACAAGCTTCTCGAGCTCGTCTAAGAGAAACGAATGCTGAGTTAGGTCGAGCATCCAGAACGCTAAATTCGATGTGGATGCGAGCAATGCGTCAGAAAGTGATATTGTATACGGTTGGCGGTTGTTTTGTTGTGGCTGTGGTGGTTAGCATATATTTAACGTTTTCCTCGAATGCTCGAAAAGCCTAAATAGTTAATCGAAGTAACTTAAAAATAATTTCCAGATTTGTTTTTGTTGTGTGATTTGTTATTAACTTAATAAAAAATTACTTTAGTATTTTATTTTCTTTTGCATTTATTTTTAGCGTAACTACAATAGAAGCTTAGTTTTCTAAACCCTAAAAATTTTTCTTCCTATTAAATATTTTTTATAATAATTGGACGATCATGTTTGAATGCCTGTTCACAATGAAGGTTTTTGATGATGTTAAAGTTAACAATTTACAAATAGAATCTCAAGATTACGAATTATTAACTTATTCCTACTTATGAATGTATAGCTTATCAGTAAAATGTATTCGAAGTGATATTATCTTGTTTGGTTATCTTTCAATAAATTATTCCTTCCCCTTTAGCGCTATTATAAAAATCTTCTGATTACTATGATATAGGGATAATAGTTTTTTCTTAGCAAGTTCGGCAACATTTCATTGCTCATCCATTTTAACCGAACTCGACGTTCCCCATTTGCTAGCAAATACAAGTGGAGGCCTCTTCTCCCTCAGTCAGAGAATCCAAAGGTTGCAGATTGCCGGCTATTATTTGAAAGCCATGCTGTTCCATGCTGGCCTGTAAATCCATTTTCGAACGGTTTGCTTCCACTAAAATGCGGGATATATCGCTAAACATATCTTCTATGCCCTGGCCCGTTTTACATGATGTTTTATATGTGGCACTTATAAGGCTATGGCATTGTTCACAAAAAGCTTCCACATCGGCATCGGTAACTTCGGGTTCCCGGCCTTCTAAATCACTTTTATTACCACAGATGAATATTTTGGCATTCTCAGCATAAGTAACAATATCCAATAAATGCTGTGACAATGAATGAAATGACGCTGCATTATCTAAGGCAAATACAAGAATTGCACCTTCAGCAAATTTGTAGTAAGATGAAGTTACCGAAGCCACCCGTTCCATGCCGCCCGTATCCCATAATTGTAGCTGGAACAGTGAATGAAACGTACCACAACAAAACAATTTCATTTAATGCTTAGAGGCTTACTTTTATTTGTTTATCCTCAACTTTGTATTCTTTTTCGATATGATCTAAGCCCAATGTTGATTTACGGTCTGTGTCTGTGACGAAAGTGTTATTCGTAAATCTTCTAAACAGAGAGCTCTTTCCAACACCGTAGTCCCCGCATAGTATCACTTTTTGTTTCGGCATACGAACTTTGGCCATTTTAAGAGGCTATAGTTTTTATATCAATAAAAATTTTTACAACATATAATACTAGATGGATTTTTAATTACATACAAAAACGCGTACATAAGGGAGAGCGAAAGAGAAGCAAGCAGCAAACATATGTTGCTGTTATTACATTTACAGCGCTGTACATTCAATAGAAGTAAAATTCACTTCATTACACAAACTTAACTAAACGATATGTAAATAAAATTAATACCATGTAAAATTTGGCCATATACGAGAATAAGCGTATATATTCTCAATAATTCAAAAAATGTGAGAATAAGCGTCCAATTTGTTTGTAACTGTTTTATGGGTTATAAGAAATCGCTAAAACGTTAGGTTAACAAGAGATTCCTAAGTTGGCTTAACGTTGAGAAATTAATATTAAATTTTAAAACGAAGGTATTGTAAAGGAATCTTAGTGGTTATAAGTGCATATTTCAACTCTTTTCTTGCTCTTTTACCTTTTTAAATTTTTAACTATGAAGGTAACGAAATCTGTGCACAATGTCAATTTTTTTTTCTGTTTACAAGACAAAGAAAAATGTGACATGATCTCACGACGTTAATTAATTATTTAATACGCAATGACTTTATGGTTTCACTCTCGTCTATCGACTCTCGTTATAATTTTTTGTTTTCGATTTCTCTTAACATAATCTTTAATCGCGCTCTTTCTTTCTCTCAATGATGTTTAAGCAACAAAATCGTGATTGGTCTCGCAACTTAAATTCATTGTGACTGGTTAATGGCAGTAAAGAAGAAGAAAATTTGATTTGTTTGAGTTTTGCAGAACATTTCATATGATTTGTGAATGAAAGATGATATGATTTTTAACGTTTATTAATAAGAGAAAACAATGAAAGAAAACTTTTTAATGGGGACAATAAATTAAAGGCAAAGTGCGGTTGGAAATTTACAAAAATTACATGGAAACTTCGTGGTGAACAATAAAGCAGAGCATTGCATTAACAAAGCTCGATCTATTTTTAAGGTTTTAAAAGCCAAAGGATATTTATAAGCATATTATTGCAGACATTTTCATATTTTTATTTATATTCTTCAATATATTCAGAAAGAGAAAATTTTAATGCTAGGACTACGGACGTTCTGCGTAAACCCGTCCATTTGACGGGTAGATTTTATGAAGCATCACAGTTGCAAAAGTGGGGATAAAAAGCTGAAACTTGGCACTTAAATTCATTAATCTATTAAGAAGATGTGTTTAAAGAAATGGGCGTGATCCCTTCACACCCATACTCTTCATATTTTCCTACATAATTCTCCATCCCGTGTATACCCGTATGAAAAACTGTTACCCCTGTGTTCGCCGGTACCACCTTTATGAAATGGTGTAGTATTGTCGATTTGTCGCAATCTACCGTAATTTACAAGTTATTGCTAAGTTTACATTTTACACCTAACCTAATTAAGATAGTGTAATTCTAGTAATAAGCTATTAATATAATATTATATGCTTACGTTATTATTCTAAGCGATAACTTACTTTAGTTATATTGCTTAAGTTAGCATTAAGTTATTTCCTATATAAGATACTGACCATACATTAGATACATCATGATATAAGCAAGTAATTTAAACGAAAGTAACAAATAAAGAATCTAAAATAATCCAATAAACCAAAGAACATTTAATTTCTAAGTGGTGTCACTACAATGGTAAAAATGGTCCTTGTCAGTAACTCAGCACTTTCTCCGTCCAATTACAAACAATTTGTAAATAATTTGGATATAAATTGGAATTAAAATTTTATCTTTTATTTCATCATCCTCATTTGCTCATTTAATCATCATCAATTGTTTAATTAATTTGTCTTCTTCTTCAAATGTTCCTTATGGGAACATGGTACACTAGAGTTTAGTTTGGTCGTAACTATAGTGTGTTGTCAGTCGATAACGTCAAAATAATATTGATCATTTCTGTGCATAACTAGTAAGATGTTAAGATATGTTAAAAAGTGGTGCAAAGATGTTAAAATATGTCAAAAAGCGGTGCTAAGTTAGATCAAAGCAACGCACTTAAACAGAAGATTATTAACGTTCGACGTTTTTTATCGAATTCCGATAAATGAACAATGACAGAAACTTTAACATGATCTAGGACGCAAATTGAGGAAAGTTGCGGTCTTCATGCCTCTTTCTCTTTCATCTTTGTGTTACGCGAATATGGGATATACTTTGACAGTACTAAACAAGATAAAGAACTCAACCATGTTTCGTCTTATGCCCAAAAACAATAAGGATGTCAATCCACCAAAAAGGATTAAATCTTCAACCAATCCCATACTACTTACCAAGTTAATAAAATTACTTCTCATCACAGCTGCAATATGCAAAAACTTCACGGTAAAACATTTCCCTGATGAGCTAGGCTTAAACTTCAAAAGAATGGGAACGGCGAAGTTGGTCACTGCTGAGTGGAAATTGATATGTGACACACCGTTTGCGTCGGACCTAAACGCTTTTTCTTCAAGTGTTCAAGCCTTGCAATAATTTCAACGGTGTGCAACGTCTTAACTAATAATTTCAGTGAAATGAGAAACGATAGTCCAAGAAGAGGAATTATTCACAAGTAAACGACTCAAAAGATTACCGTTTAATATAATCGGTAATATCGCTCGAGCATTATTCGGTGTTCTAAATTCCGATTATGCTGAAGAGATGGCGAAAATTATTAAGGAAGCAAAAATAGAGAGAGCCAAGTAGTTTGTCCTCTGAGAAATCAAACGCCCCTAATTGATTCGACTCTCAATATCGTACAAGAGGACGAGATCAGTACACAGCAAAGCTCATAACGGAAGAATTAGTCCGCTTTTACAGTCCACTCATCAGCTAAAAGTTGAATTCACTTTAAGCAAGGCTCGTCTTCCATCATTGCAAGCACTTCCAATCGAAGACGACAATTTAATTGAACTATATAAATTAATGAACTTAAGGGAAATTAAGGGAACTGTAATAAAAAAAGAGGTGGTATTCGAAATTAAGTGGCTTCTGGTCCGCCGTCAACCCTTGATTTTTGCTGCGGTTCTAGACACTAAAATGGTTTGCGGCACGGAAACCTTCGCTAGAAGTAGTAAAGGGTATCGGAGAAATGGCATTAGGCTGTAATCGTGTAATTAAAAACAATTTTATAACGATCCAAAGCCATTTTGGAGCATCGAACCTTACTTCATACCCAAGAATTAGCTGGACCAACTAAGTGATCTTTAAAGACAACTAAAAGAATCGACTAATACATTTACCGCATTCCATAAATTCTAATAGCCAACACCATCACGTAATAAGCTATTCCACGCTTGCGCTTTCCACGCCGCTGTTACTTGTTTTGCTGGTCTTGAAATTATATTCCAAAAATATTGTCAGTCCAGACTATGTGTTTGGATTAATCAACGCTAATTCACCGCATTATATATAACTTCGTGCAGCGTAGGTAGCTATAGATAATTACACTCATTTAAATAATTAAGAAAATTGTATCCGACTATAAACGAACCTTTAATACCGCCTTGGTGTCCACAATATTAACGCACGTACAAAATAGTTTTAAGCATTCTGTCCCGTTTACTTTATGATTAATAAGCATAAAACCCCAAAAAATGAAAAAAAGAAAATCTAGTCACTTGTAACTTTGTGTAGGCATGGTCGACTTTATACAATTTTGTATATAAATAGTAGAGTTTTTCGCAAAGTAAATGTGGGAAACTTCAGTCTTCTATCTTTTATAATTTGTACGTAAAATGCAAACACACGAAAACTATTGTTTAGGAAAATGGAGCTACGTTCAGCTTACGCTTCACTGCGGGCTTGTGCCCACTTTCAATATCAACCTGCATGCGAGAACTTCCAATCTTTCTGCTACATTTTTGCGGTCAGGCGAATGAATGGCATTACACGGAGGAATGGATGCACATGTTTAAATCGATTGAAAATTCGGTAGTGATAAAGAATGTATATGCATTGCATGGTCGGCGAAGCTTACTTCTCCTCTTCCTAGTGAATGCGGTACTTATTTTTACATTGGTAGTTCGAAGAACGAAATAATTACCAGCGACATGGAGAATTTGAAGAGTTCTTTCATCTAAAAAAATATATGATTGCGATGTGACACGTGTAGCATTCACTTCTACATCATTGTAGAAACTAGGTGAAGCGTTTTTTTAGATTAAAGGAAATATTATAAAACTTTAAAAGTGATTTATTTATATCAAGGCATTTAGGGACTTCCATAGTTTGGCTTGGAATCTTCCTGCACTTGCTTGAGATCATAGCCATCTCGGTTAGATTAAGCGCAATTCTTCAGGTGGTAAACTAGTCTTTTTTGAAGACTCGTTTTAGAATTTCGTGCGTTTTTTTTTGGGAGAAAAGGCTGCCGTTAATGAGTGAAAGAAACATAACCAATATTATTTTTAGAATACGTTAAGTAATGACAAACTCAATGGACCGTCTTTGAAGACGAAATCCCACCTTAATTCTTTTTCCGATAGAAAACAAGAGAAAAATTGGCAATCAAGTAAGTTACAGCAAGATATACCCTAGGGATTTGCGGAATAAAAAAAGGAACAAATAATTGGTTCGTAACTCTGTCTTTTATTGGGACAGAGACAACTTGAGAAATGGCGTTGGCATTGGTACTCGTCACATAATGCGGCAGAACGTTTAACGCCGTTTGCATACGTTTGTAGAAATGGTTTGTCATCCTCACTATGCGAGATAAAGTACTTTTCGTATATTGCATCGTTTTTTATAATGGGTTTATTTTTTAAAACTCTTAACCATGATTAGTAAATTTTTTCAAAATAAAACTCATTGCAGCTGGATTATCCGCGGGCACCATGTGACCGGCACGATTCACCCAGAACATGGAAAAATTACCAGCAGTTTTTACATAACCCTCCAATACACGATCAACGGTAATAGCTTCGCGTGGAGCATTTAAATAATCCTGCTTGTAACTCCATTGCATTCGATCAATCCAATTAACGGAACCAAGTGTAGCGCATATTAAATCCAATTGTCCGGAAAAAACGCCAACCTTCAAGGTGGTCTTATCCAGCAGTTCGCTAACTAAAAAAATATATGTAAAACTTCTTGTGATAGTGGCTTAGTTTAGCATGTTAATTACGTACCAACATCTATTACGGGTTTCATGAAATCTCCCCGTAATTTTTGGAATGTCAGTCCACTTTGCGAACCCCACTTTACATGGGAAGGTAAACCTAAAGCTTTGGTAACATTCGTTCGCATTAGATCGGACAACATTTGATCACGATTCTCATCAATATCATAATGCACCAATGTGCGGAACATGACATCTATTCAAAAAGCATATTTTGTCTTATAAACTGCATATACTAAACAAATGGTTTTTACCGTAATCAGATTGTTTTGTTTGAAAAGTGTCACCACGAGTTGGCTTTTCAATGTTATAAAAATCTACGCCTTTGGATTGCTTATGTACTACGCTTTGTGTATTACCCCATTGGGCAGTTGCTTCGGTCCATTTGCCGGCTTCTATTAATTCCAAGGTTTTATTGGCAGCGGCCATAATTTTGTCATAACCGTCATAATCTACAATGCCCTGAAGCGGAATTTCATTTTTAATTTGAAAAAAAAGAAAAAAGCAAAGTAAAAAGTTCGCTTACCATGTTCAGTAATAATGGCGCCCAACTTAACACCGAGTCTATGGGTGAAGTCCAAGGGTCACCCAAAGCTACTGATTGCAGATTGCTACGTATTTCTCCTCTTTTTTTAGCGTAATATAATTCTAAAGCGAATTCTGGAGCCATTTTTCCGCCGTAACTTTCGCAGAAAATATGCAAAGGAACCTCTTCAAATTCCGAGTGCGATTTATAGAAGCCTTTCATGAATTCAACTAAGTCCTTAGCAATTTGCTTGTTATCCGTCGTTAATAAAGAGCTATTATCTACGTAGGAGAAACCACTGCCAACTGGATTATCAATGAATAGAACATTCATATCTTTAACCCAGGTCCAATCGCGATAATCGCCTTCTAGGGTTAGTGGGCCCAATTCCTCAAAATTTCCATAGCCGGTGGATGAGGCCCCCGGACCTCCTTGTAACCAAATTGCTAAAGGTCGTTTAGTGTAATCGCTGACATTGGCAGTGGTGTAGTACAACCAATAAAACATGCGAGCACCCTTGCGCACCTCAACGTGGCCTCATGCCTGTTCACCTGGTCCATACCCGACTTTGGCTGAAATAATACATATTATAAAAATTCCAACTTTTCCTTTTATTTACGCATGTATAGATAGTTGAGCTTTGAATGAATTCACTTCTTATCTAATCTGCTTTGGTAACTAGTAAATAATTATCGCAAAAAATGCTATAAAATGTTAGGACGCTTTGAAATTTTACCGTGAATTTCGTAAGCGCTATGACAAACAGGAAAATGCTACTTCCGTTTGTGAATCGCTCGATAACAAGCTTTAGGATCATAGATTTTGTAACATAAGTAAGATTCGTAATGGGACGGAAGTTAGGATAGAATAGGAAATATGCCTCTTTATGAGTTTCCTTCTCTCCGGAGAGTAAAATTAAGGAAAATCAATTTTCAAGAGTTTCAGAATGAGAGAAAGGTTGCGATTTAATTAATTCGCATTCGCATTCGCATTCGCATTCGATCCGGCTGCCTTTTATATATTGTCCATCGTCAAATCTACTATTTAATAATAATTGAATGGCTTTAATTTTGTAAAGCATTCTATTCAAAAAATAGAAAAAAAAATATCACTTTTAATTATTGCCCTACTTACCACTGACTATAGCAGCGGCACAGATCACGACCGCCGCTAACGTAACAAAAGTAAAATTCATATTTAATTTGCTTTCCGTGTTAGTTTTATTTCTTTATGATCTTTTCGTTATTTAATGAAATCTATCACGTCTTGATGAGCCTCTCTAACACTCACTTTCTTTTGTTTTATTATTATTTGAATGTGCGCTGGTTACAGCGACTGATAGACGACTGTAGATTACTAGTTTGACGGTAAAGAGCTTTTATTGAATTCTTATCAAACATAAATGAATTATTGGTTTTATCTTGTGGCTTATTTAAAATTTACGTAATTGAAGCGAATGCGTTTGATAATAAGCTTACCGTTCAAGACTTTTATGGTCATTAGCATGGACACTCATTTTCTTTGCGCGTAATATATAAATATATATATTTCCAAATGTTTTCACAAGATCGCTTCTAGTTGCACGTATGCGTAAATAAAATGTTACCCAAAATTATTTTACAGGCTAGGCTCTTGATAAAAACTTCCGCGTACGTGTGAGTGTGTACAGGAGAGTGTCTCTTTGAGTTAAACTTATTCAACAAAGTCTTTCAGGAAATGTTGCTATGGAAATAAAAATAAGTGCTTAGACTAGACTCCTGTTAATGTTTGATTGCTTGCTCTTTCACTCTCATTGAAAAACTCTTATTGTATACAGATCGTAATAGTTCAACTGGGTTCATTGTGAAACTTCCCTTTGAATTTAACACACACCTGCCACATACATAGTAACACTGTTAGTCAGTCTATAAATGAAAGAACATCTCATGAAGTCCCTAACTCCATGTGTAGGCGACAACTATATTAGAAGTTGTGCTTTCTTTCTATAGCTTGTATCTAGCTTGTAGTTAGTACCAACGCATATCTCAACGCAGAGATACTTTGTCTAGCAATGAAAATGTGGCATTTTGCGCCAAACAAAGAGTCTGCGTCGGCAGCGCCTTTTTTGCCGAATGATATAAAAAAAAATGGTTTTCTCTATCGTATCTTAACTGGGGATGAAAAATAGATCTATTTTGAGGATTCCACGTCTAAAACTTCATGGGTAAATGCAGACTTATGGTCCACATGCGCTGCGAGATTGAATCATAATATTGAACATAATATTCTCTATTTGGAGAGAGCAGTGAAATGTGGTCTCTTATTGCTTGGTAAAGTGCAGTGAAACGGTTAACACCAAATGCTGCCAACAACAATTAATCGATTTGTGCCGTTCGCTATTTAGCGAAATAAGCAAAATATCAAAGAAAAGCAATATTAGGTCATTCTTTGACATGGAGTCCGTTCATCTATCCAATAGAGCAAACCCGGTTCGCACTACGAACCCAACACTCGACTGGTTAAAGTTAGCCCATATAACATATTCACCAATCGAGTCTTTCCAATTAGCATTTATTTGCCTCGATGGGACACACTCTTGGCAAGCAGTGCTTCATGTCTTACGAAAATTTGCGCAAATAGTTCGATAACTGTTTAAAAAGTGGGAAAATATTTAACTAGGGCTAGGCAATGCTTCAGGTAAAATATATGTTACCGTTTTCATATAGTAAATATGTATCTTCTTTATATAAATTCCGGTTTCATACGGACATACGTTGTGCATGCAGAAAAGTGCTCCCAAGTCAAAGAAATAGTTAATGTATCAAAAGCAAGAATCCAACAAATAGTTCTAATTATTAGTGCAAGTGTTTAGCTATATTTATTTCATTTAAATCAAAACAGTTGTACTTATTAATTTGTAAGTTAAAAGTAACGGACGATATCTAAGCTTATAGTAGAAGTTCTTTTCAGTGCCAAAGTGAATTTCTATATCTATCCATTAGCGTGTTTGTTCTGAACAACACAGTCCCATCGCCGCTGCAAGAGCTGCCGCTTATTGCTTTTTAGAAATGTCACCACTTTTGCTTTGTGGCACAGTTTGCCTACGGTACTCGGCTTGATGAGTTTATCCTGGAAATTTCCAAACAGTATTACCATAGATATAAACCTTCAATTAAGTTGCAGGAATACATTAACCCGTTGACATAAATGGCGCCTGTACATGTGCGTGTGCTTGTACGACGTCGTGTGCGAACGACGTCTACAGACGCAGTCCTATATTCTTAGCTTATAGAACAAAAAAAAAAAGAAGTGCGTTTTTGATTTGATTTTAAAGTGAGCGTTAAGGTGTTAAGCTATGACTCTTGATCGCCATTCCTCTTATAGTGGCATTGCAAGGTTGCCTAAAAATCTGTTTACATAACAGTTTTAGATACAAGAGGTCATAGATAGACTTACTACTACATTGGTTAAATAAAATTGATTTGATGGTGTAGTTACATAAAACTAAGTGTGATAAACACCCCATCGCCTGGTTACACAAAAAGTGGCCTACCACCCTGGGGCCTACCACGTAGGAGCACATACAATGTCCACACAAAAATTAATTAATAACACATGGAGCGACTTGATAGTTTGACTACTATACTTTCTCAACCATTGGCTTAGGGTTTGTTTTCTTTCGATGTCCAACCATGCTCTCAGTCTAATTTTAACTACCGTATTTTGCCGGAAAGGCTGGGCGTGTTCTGCGCCTCTGATTAACATCGATTGCGGTAGGTGATGAACGCTTTACCTATGATGTTGAACTGTAGCGATACCCCACGCCAGTTCTTTGTCCTCAGGATCACATTTTGTAATAGGGAAGGAATGGTAGCACAACAATGGATTAGCTGCAATGTATTTTTGAATTGCTTACGAGATGAATTGCCTGCAGTCGAAGTCGTCTAAGTTTAAACAGTTTTGACACTAGCTCTCTATTGTGAGTATAATTTTAATTTTGATTTTCAATCGATGGTTAGATTATATTTGTAGTAGTGCACAAGAACTATTTGCAGTGCAATTTAGTTAACAATGTAGTTACGTATCAAGATATTGTTAACGCAACTCTTACTTGTTTACCTTCTATTTATTATGAAGCTCTACTGTTATTACTCTTATTATTGCTGTAATTACGGGTTTGGAATGAAATTAAATTGACTTAAATATATTAAAGTGAATAAATACAGTTATTTTTTAATTGTTGCTTGTATGTCTAATAAGAAGTCAGAAGTAATGTGGGCTGGGATTATACATTTTTGCTTGCCTTGAGTTGAAAAGAAATTACACTATGTCCAGATAATCTACTTACTTTCCACTTACTTTATTCCATTTAAAATTACGGCGTAAATCAAAAACCTAACAATGCCAAAGCTGCTTTATGAGAAACGACTCGACGACAAGGCGGCCTGCGGTAGAAAAAAAAACGGTGCAGGTAGTTAGAGGCATGGATATTGACGAACGAAGAGAAGACATTGTGACAAAGCGTATATTAATGTTAAGGCTATTAATAAATAATTTCTTGATAATGCGCTATTAATGCTTATGCATCAGTATTGTGTGTTAGAATTCCGACGTTTTAGCCAGCTGCCTACGCGTACAATCAAACGCTGCTGACTCCGACTATGTGTATTACATATACATTTAACACCGTAATCACGAAAGGCAAATCGTAGGATAATTAAAAGATTCGGCCGGTCGAAAAATTCGAACACATATCGAAACACGTATTAAAGAACAAACTACTAATAAAATTGCTGTCTGGCTGTAGACCGATGCTCAGTTGTATCGATGCTTTATTAGACGTCTGCGAAATGATCAGATCATCTCCTGAACCTGGCATTCCCAATTGAAAAGTAGAAAGCCTATATAGTTTCTTAACATCTATAGTTTTATTGTCTGGTATCTTTTTGAGGGAACGCAACCAATCGTAGTTAAGGGCCAAAGAGAGTTCAAGTTAAATGCACGAGATACAATTGGCCCATCTGAACAGTTGAAAACTGCAAGATCCATAAATATGCTAACGCAAATTGTTACAAGCTATTAACCAAGGGAGTGCGTACGTCTTTACATTGCGGACACAATCGGTAGAAACTTTTTATGAATTCAGCTAAGCCCTTAGCCTAAACCCGGTTTTTGTCTGGCGTTAATAAAGAGGTATTGTTTACATGGGAAAACTTTGCATCTATCGGCAAACCCATCCATTTTTTAAACCACGTCCGATTGCAGTGCTCTCCTTTCTAATGTTAAAGGACAAACATTTCGAAATTTCTTTAGTTGATGGATGAGCCTTTTGGACTGTCTTATATCGTATTAGGTAAACGACCTTGATTGTAGCGGAATAGTTGAACGCACGAAAATTATCGGGGATTGATTAGATACATTAAGATGACCCTAAGCTACTCACAAGCTGCATTACCACCTTTCACTATGAAATATATGAATAGAAAATTCGTTTATTGTTTCGAGTACTTATGGTACAATTGCCACTTGAGCTGTGATTGAAATTAAATCTTATCTAATCAATTTTGATAACAGTATAATCGATAGCTGTTTAGTTGAAGTTGTTAGAAGAGGAAATAACGCATTTTGATAACAGATGCATTTGATTCATTCATATCTTATCTATCGCTGTTACAACACTTCTGCGGTGACAAATTTAGATACGTTATACCCCGTACAATTTACAATTTATGGCACAGGATATGTTAACTTTGTGATGATGTATGTAAGACTGAGAGGGCAGACCCAATCCCATTATGGCGATTGATTTAGAAACATTTTCTAAATAATCGATTTAAGCTTGCCTATCCGTCTGTTGCCTTTTTATGTTCAAACTACGGTGCGAGCTCATTCAACAAAAGGCGAACGCTATTGAAAGTGGATTTCATTCGATCATAAAACCCATCATAATGCACTATATTCGCAAAAAATCGTTACACGGAGAAAATTTACACTTTTCAAAATTTCTCAACGAAATTCGCTGAGTAATAGCACTTTGCCATGATAAATTGGACAGAGGGTATAATTTTTCATATTTTATAATAGTTATAGGCCCACGACAACACTTTATCGTAGAAATTAACTCTAACAAATTTTTAACGCATAAGTCAATTTTTACGATACAAAGAATTACTTTTCAATGTTTTCTGTTAAGAAGTGGTCAATAATAGTAATTTG